TACGGCAGCTTTCCCCTGGGGCTCGGGTGGGAGCTGGGGAGAGGCTGCCGTGGCCTGAGAATCATCTCACTGCCCTTGGGCAGCCTGGCCTGAGCTCGGGGGCACTTTGGGTTTGTTCTGGTGCAGAGGCTGGAGATCACTGGGTAGAAGCTGTTTGTTCTTGCTGGGGGAAGAGGTTTATTTCTGAATTCACTAGAAAATTGAACTAGATTATGTGAGGGGGTCTTTACTTTGCTGTGTTGTGGGTTTCTATGCTTTCTGGACTCTAAAATCACATCAGACCTGGCACTGTACAGGTGGGTGTTGGCAGTTCGGCAGGCACATAACCACGGTGGGTGTGGAGGGAGGAGGTGACCCAGGTTCTGCTCATGTCTGGCCTGTGAGCACCACGGTGGGTCCTGCTGCCTGCAGGGGCTGTGCTGGGGGCAGGTCAGGCACACAGCTCGGGGTCTCAAAGGCTGCACGTAGGTGCTAATCCCAGAGCCTGTGTTAACGTGTTGGCAGCCCAGTTACTAACGTGTCATCCATGGCAAGAGCCAAGACACGTGTGGGAATGTTCCCTGCTGAGCACCGGGCGTGGGGAAGGGCCAGAGAACTGGGAGCCTCCCAGTTCTCCTGGTGTGGCTGGAGCCAGGCACACAGCTCGGGGTCTCAAAGGCTGCACGTAGGTGCTAATCCCAGAGCCTGTGTTAACGTGTTGGCAGCCCAGTTACTAACGTGTCATCCATGGCAAGAGCCAAGACACGTGTGGGAATGTTCCCTGCTGAGCACCGGGCGTGGGGAAGGGCCAGAGAACTGGGAGCCTCCCAGTTCTCCTGGTGTGGCTGGAGCCCCTCGGGCACCCGCGGCAGGACTGGCACTCTCGTCCCTGTGCTGCGCTGCCCTGAGCGTGTCCAGCCATCCCGGGCTGCTCCCTGCTCGTGTCCAGCCACCCTGGGCTGCTCCCTGCTCGTGTCCAGCCATCCCGGGCTGCTCCCCGCTCGTGCCCAGCCCCCCCCGGCTGCTCCTCGCCCGCC